CCATATACAGGAGTTATAAAATGTTTCGCATCCTCACATTGTCTTTTATTTCCATACACATCTCTAGGGAGTAGTTTGTGGATTATTTTTTATATCAACTTTCTTCTCCATTACTTTCCTTCTTTTCTCCTCCTGTTGAATCAGATAGCATGATATTACAAATATGGCTGTGCTTTATTTGGAAATAACTGTGAATTAATCCATGGGTCCTACATATTTCAGTGGAAAAGAAAATAATTTTTTTTTACATTTCTTTTTCAGGTATATTTCTTCCATGTATACATATACATATATATATGTGTATATATACACATATATATGTATATATATGTGTATATACATACATATATATATTTTTTTCTTTTGCCTAAAAAATGGGTGCTTAATAGGTACTTAACATTTGTCTGATTTAGTTTTGGTTTTAATATATCATTTAAGTTTTCTAATAACTACATTATAACACATACCATTTTTATGTGAATTTGAACTCTTTGAAATTCTTTCTCATGTGTTCTTTTATTTGATGCTTAAGAAGAAAGAGACTTATCTCTTTTAGTTCCATGGTTGAAATCCTACCATATGAGGGGGCTGTGTGCTAGAAACTGCTCATACAGAGATGGGTAATTGTGATCTCTGCCCTTGAAGTGCTCACTGACTGGTGGTTCGGACAGAGAAATATACTTCTAGTTAGTGATATGTGTCTGGGAGCTACGTGAAGCAAGGGTAGCACATGGTGTGTGGGAGGTTATGGAGCTAGCTATCCCAGCTGGTGAGGGAAGAAAGTAGTGCAGGTTATTTAAGTAGGAGAGGGGAGTTGAGTCTTCAAAGAAAAATGAAAGTGAATAAGAAAATAGGGCAGTGTAGCACCAGGAAGTGGATTAGCAAACAAATCTGCTTTGTAAATTTGCACCCAAAGCACTATATATATATATGTAGATTAGCATCTGCAACAAGGGCATGGAGGTACCATCCTCTGACCTCTAACTTCCCAAGGGGGAGTGAGAAGGATCAACACCAGTAGCCCAAATCTAATTCCTATAAGCCCGGATATACAATTACCCTCCAACCTTTTAACCAATTCTGACACCAACTATCCCTTCCATGGCACTCACTATTTCTTTGCTGGTTTCAGTAATTCATTGCAGTGGGCACACAGAACTCACAGACAATACTCATGATTATGGGTTTATTAGGGAAGTAACAGGTTACAATTCAGGTTCTGGAATGCCCAAGATACGGTTCTTTGATCAGGACAGGCTCCCCTCAGCCATGCCCTCAGTCATCCCTTACTTTGGCCCTTGGCCTCTCAGACTGGCCTCTGCCCTGCTCAGGCAAATGTTACAAAGCTCTTTTAGCTCTGCTGATAGGTGCATCTAGGTGTACCCCATTCTGCCAGTAAGCCTCCTGCCCAAAGGCACTTAGCTTTCTTGCTCTGTGGGCCAGCAAGCCTGCTGCTTTGTTTCATACCCCTTGGTTCCATTGCCTGTCTTTCTGCCAACTCTGTGTTGACTCTGTCATTCCCTCTGCCAAGGAGGTCCATGACAGGAATCTCGGGTCTAAGGATGTGTTCCATTCCACCTCTGTCTCTTCTCTATTAAATGTCATCAACAGATTCCCCGTTTTGCCTTTAGGTGGGCTAATTTTAAGCCTCGTGGGATGACAAAACTGACCAAACCCTACAATTGGATTCCCTACACCTTATTTGCATGTTCCCACCCATTCAAGGGTATGATGTTCCTTATTTACATTACTAGCAAGCTATCCAAACTCCTTGGTGGGCCACAAGAACCTTACATTTGCATAGTTCCACCCATTAATCTGGTGGGAGTCACAAAGACCATGGCTAGAAGAGCCATACCAAGCAATTCACTGTACCATAGCATCTTATGGGAACTTGTTAGTTAACATCTCCAGTGCTAACCAGGACTAGTAAATCAGAAATTCTGGGGGTGAGGCTGTCAGTCTATTATACAGTCCTTTGGGTGATTTTGATAGAATTAAGGCTTGAGAATCCTTACTATACAGGCTAATATGACATATTTTAGAGTCAGACTACTTGAGTTCAAATCCTGGCTCTACCACTTGCTGGATGTCCCCACATAGCACTTACTAAGAATCACCTTTGATTCAGCAGTTCTAACTCTAGGAATTAATTTATTGGAAATACTCACACAGATGCTAACCAACTGTTTGTTGAAAGAGTAAATAAATATTGACAAAATGTTTTCTAAAAAAATTATGCTAATTTCCCCTCCAGAAATGTTGTCATGACCCCAAAATTTATAAATAGAGAGAGGAAATTGTCTAAGGGTGGGGGAAGTGAGTGGTCAATTTTGTCAGGTATAGAAGAAAGGTCTGAAATATATCCATCAGCTTAGCAAAGCAGAAGAATGGAAAGTTTAGCCAGAGCTGTTTCAGGGGAGTAGAAGAGGTTGGAATTACTAGAATTTAGAAACTCGGAGTAAGAACTCAAACCTTTACCTTGGAGAATGGATGGCTGTTCAGTTGGTACTGGTCCCTCTGGCCCTTGATAGAGGGATCTTGCAGAGTTAGAACTCAGATCTCTGTGAAGGGGGGATGCTGGGCTGGTATTGAGGGGTTTGTGGCTGGTTCTGAGACTATGAGGAAAAAACATGGTACTAATTCATGTTGCCTGGCTGAAGAACCTTGTGGAGGTGATACTGGTAAGAATGAGGAGCAAAATATTTGTTATGGTGGCACCATATTTTTTGTTACCAATATCTGTATTAGTTGGGAGCTCTGGTGGTATAGGGCCTAAGGCATTTAACTGCTAACCAGAAGGCTGGTGTTTCAAACCCACCATCCACTCCTTGGAAGGAGGGCTGGGCAATCTACTTCTGGAGGGATATCACCTACTGCCATAAAATAAATACTCAAACTTTTAGTGGCTTAAAACAGCAATCATTTATTATCACAGTGTCCACTGATCATGGATCCAGGCATGGCTTAGCTAGAGCATCTGCCTCATTGTCTAACAAGATTTCAGCAAAGGTGTCATTCACGGCTACAGTCATTTCAAGGGTTAACTGTAGGACAATCTGCTTCCAAGCTCACTCACTTGGCTTCCAATTCCCTCATGAGTTTTGCCTCAAAGGTCTGATTCCTTCCTTACTGACTCTTGGATAGAGACCTCCCTTAGTTTCTTGCCACATGGAATTCTCCATAGGGCAGCTCACAACATGGTAACTGACTTCCATTAGAGTGAGCCAGAGAGAGAGAGAGAGAGAGAGAGAGAAAGATGAAAGTCACAGTCTTTTTTTTGTATGGAAGTGATATCCTCTCACTTTTGTTGTATTCTATTCATTAAATTCAAATCACTAGGTTAAGCTCGTACTCTAGGGGAGGAGATTATGAAATTGGGATAATTGAGAGATATCTTAGAAGCAAGCTGTCTACCATAGTCCTCAAGTGCTCATTTCCTCCTTCTTTACCTGGTTTAGAGTATATAATAAATTATTATTTGCATATATCCACTGTTGTATGCAAGTAAATTATGCAAATTTATGCACTAACCACTAAAGCCAAACATGAGGAAATTGAAGATTTTTATAAATTTCTGCAGTCTGAAATTGACCAAACATGTAATCAAGATATATTGATAATTACTAGGGATTGCAATGTGAAAGTTGGAAGCAAAGAGGTAGCATTGGTAGTTGGAAAATACAGCCTTTGTGATAGAAATGATGTTGGAGATTGCCTGATAGAATTTTGCAAGACTAATGACTTATTCATGACAAATACCTTTTTTCACATATATAAACAGTGAATATACACATGAGCCTTACCAGATATGATACACAGGAATCAAATTGGCTACATTTGTGGAAAGAGGTGATGGAGAAGCTCATTATCATCAGTCAGAACAAGGCCAGGAACTGATTGTGAAACATACCACAATTGTTCATATGAAGTTCAAGTTGAAGCTGAAGACAAAACAAGTCCACCAGAGAAAAAAGAAAGAAAGAAAAAGAGTTACCTTGATTATATCCCTCTTGAGTGTAGAGACCATCTGAACAATAGATTTGATGCAGTGAACACCAATGACTGAAGGCCAGATGAGTTTTGGGATGACATCAAGAACATCATAAATTAAGAAAGCAAAAGGTCATTAAAAGGACAAGAAAGGAAGAAAAGACCAAAACGGATGTCAGAAGAGACTCTGAAACTTGTTCTTGAATGGAGACTAGCTAAAGCAAATGGAAGAAATGACAAAATAAAAGCTGAACAGAAGATATAAAAAGTTGGCTTGAGAAGACAAAGTAAATTATTATAATGAAATGTATAAAGACCTGGAATTAGAAAACAAAAAGGGAAAAAAACACAAGGCATTTCTAAAGATGAAAGAACTGAGGAAAAAATTCAAGCCTTGAGTTGCAATATTGAAGTATTTTGTGGGCAAATATTGAACAATGCAGGAAGCATCAAACAAAGATGGAAGGAATGCACAGAGTCACATTACCACAAAGAACTGGTTGATGTTCAGCCATTTCAGGAGGAAGCATATGATCTGATGGTACAGAAGGAAGAAATCAAAGCTGTACTGAGGGAATTGGTGAAAAATAAGGCTCCAGGAATTGACCCACAGAATACCCACTGTGATGTTTCAACAAGGGGATGCAGCACAGGAGATGCTGTTTATGTCAAGAAATTTGGAAGACAGCTACCTGGCCAACCAACTGGAAGAGATCAATATTTGTGCCCATTCCAGAGAATGGTGATCCAACAGAATGTAGAAATTATCAAATAATATCACGTGCAAGTAAAATTTTGCTAAAGATAATTTTAAAATGTTGTATATTATATACTTGTTATATATTGACAGGGTATTGCCAGAAATCCAAGCTGGATTGTGAAGAGGACATGGAATGAGGGATATCACTGCTAATGTTAGATGGATCTTGGCTATAAGGACAGAATACCAGAAAGAGGTTTACCTGTGTTTTATTGACTATGCAAAGCATTGGACTGTGTGGATTAGAACAAATTATGGATAACAGTGCAAAGAAAGAGAATTCCAGAACACTAACTGTGTTCATGAAGAACCTATAGGTAGACCAAGAGGTAGTTGTTTGAAAAAAAGAAGGGGATGCTGCATGGTTCAAAAATTGGGAAAGGGTTGTATCCTTTCACTATACTTATTCAATCTGTATGCTGAGCTAATAATCCAAGAAGCTGGACTTTATGAAGAAGAACACGGCATCATGATTGGAAGCAGACTCATAATACCTTGGATATGCAGATGAGACAAGCTGACAGTGAAGAAGACTTGAAGCACTTACTGATGAAGATCGAGGACTACAGGCTTTCGTGTGGATTACCTTCAACATAAAGAAAACAAAGATCCTCACAATAAGCAGCATTACAATAAATCGAAAGAAGATTGAAGTTGTCAGGAGTTTCATTTTATTTGGATCCACAGTCATTGCCCATGGAAGCAGCATTTAAGAAATCAGGTGATGTATTGCACTGGGCAAATCTGCTGCAAAAGACCCCTTTAATTGTTATAGAGCAAAGATAATACTTTGAAGACTAAGGTGAGCCTGCCCACAGTCCTGGTATTTTCAATAGCCTCACATGCATGGGAAAGCTGGACAATAAATACCGAAGACCATCGAAGAAATGATGCATTTGAATTATGGTGCTGGTGCAGAATATTGAATATACCATTACACGCCAGAAGAGCAAACAAATCTGTCTTGGAAGAAGCATAACTGGAATGCTCCTTAGAAGGCCAGACTTTGTTTCATGTACTGTGGCTGTATTTCAGAAGGAACTAGTCCTTGGGAAAGGATATCATGCTTGGTAAATTAGAAGATCAGTAAGAAAGGGGAAGACCCTCAATGAGATGGTTCGACACAGTGGCTGCAATGATGGACTCAAATATAGCAAAGATTTTGAGAATGGCACAGGACCAGGCATTATTTTGTTCTGTTGCGCGTAGCGTAACTATGCGTTGGAGTTGATTCAATGGCTCCTGACAACAGCAACAATTAATGTACTTGCTTGTCAAAACTTTAATCTTGGGAAAGTCTGCTTTTCCACCCACTCCATATGTGTAGGTACATGCCTGGGGGAAAATACACCCCATTGACTCATCTCAGTTTAACCCTTTTAAGACTGAATTATTTTATGCCTTGATTTTTGTTGTTGTTGAAACTATGTATTTTCAGTAATGGGAGGCATTTTGACTGAAATGAAAAGAAATTTTTTGGGGGATAATATGGATTTTAATGCAATTAATGGGACACATATTTCCCTAGGTGTCTCTGGTGCTGGGGTTGTTGGGATGAGGGCCACTTCTTCAGATTCATGCTGTTATACAGGCCTTCAATTTGGTGTGTGTGTGTGTGGGGGGATGAAACAGAAAATGTAAGTGGAAACTATGTGTCCCAAGGGCACAAAAGGATTAAATTCATGATTCTGAACTTCAAATGGGCACTATTGCCACCAGTAAATCCTACTATATCTCTCTGTTTGACTTATACCCCTGGTTTCCTCCACAACTGTTTAATAACTTCTCTCTCACTAGCTGCATAGCACTTGCACTTTGTCTTTATTCTTTGCTGATGACTTTTTTATTTTCACCCAGAAAATAGGAATGGGAGAGGTTTTCTTCTGATTGCTTTCCTCTCCAAAAATCTTAGAGCTTTCCATGTCAGTGCCCATGCATTTTCTTTTTCTTGTGGATGAATTATCTGTGTTCCAATATAGGTGAACCCTTAATATGTGTTTTGAGTCCCATATGCTGTTGCCTACTCAAGGAATATTTTCATGTAATTATCCTCTCTCTTTCCTACATCATCAGTTTTATCCTCTCATCTGGTAGCATGCTGTACTAACATGCGTTTAAAAAATAAACTTCCTTGAACACATATTTTCATTAAGTAACCACCCTATTTCACTAGTCCCTTTAAAGGAAATGAAGTTTTGAACTACGTGAATTATTATTTATTCAAATATTAATATAAAAAGTCAACAAAAGTATATTTTGATGATTACCCTCTTGTCATAAATAACAGAAAATAGGCTAAAATGTAGGAAATAGCTATTTTCAGAGTTGGACAACAGACAGGATAGGAATATGATTTTTGAGAGGAATAAATAAGGTGATTTTTAACATTACCCAGGCTTTTGTGACTGGAGGCAATTTCCTGAACATGGTGCAATGTGAAGGTACTTAAGCAGAGCTCAGCAATCTTGCTGAGTTGAGGAGATAGAGATAGTAATTCAGAGAGGGTGTTGTTGTTGTTGTTATTAGGTGCCATTGAGTTGTCTTTGGCTCATAGCAACCCTATGCACAGCAGAACGAAACACCACCCAGTCCCGCACCAGCTCTGTGATCCCTGCTATATTTGAGTTCATTGCTGTAGCCACTGTGTCAGTCCATCTCGTTGAGGGCCTCCCCCTCTTTCGTCGACCCTCCATCTTACCACGCATGACATCTTTCTCCAGGGGATGGTCCCTTCTGATAACATGACCAAAGTAGGTGAGACAAAGTCTGGCCATTCTCACTTCCAAGTAGCATTCTGGCTGTGCTTCCTCCAGGACAGATTTGTTAGTTCTTCTGGCAGTCCATGGTACTTTTAGCATTCTTCACCAACACCACAACTCAAAAGCATCAACTCTTCTTCGGTCTTCCTTATTCACTGTCCAGCACCCACATGCATATGAAGCAATTGAAAATATCATGGCTTGTGTCAGGCGCACTCTAGTCCTCAAGGACTAGAAAGAAGCACTTGAAAGAAGTCTTTTGCAGCTGACTTGCCCAGTGCTATACGTTGCCTGTTGTCCTGAATGATGCTTCCATTGGCGTCGATTGTAGAACCAAGCAATGTGAAGTCTTTGACAACTTCAATCTTTTCCCCATTTATCGTGATGTGGCTTATAAGTCTAGTTGTGAGGATTTTTATTTTCTTTATATTGAGATATAATCCATACTGCAGACTGTATTCTTGAATCTTCATCAGTCATCCTCACTTTCAATGAAGTTGTATTGTCAGAGTATCTCAGGTTGTTAATGATTCTTCCTCCAATCTTGATGCCATGTTCTTCTTAAAGTTCAGCTTCTTAGATTATTTGCTCAGCATATAGATTGATAAGTATAGGGAAAGGATATAACCCTGACATACTCCTTTCTCTACTCTAAACCATGCAGTGTCCCCTTGTTCCGTTTGAAAGACAGCCTCATGGTCTATCTACAGTTTCCTCATGAGTACAATTAAATGTTCTGGAATTCCTATTCTTCTCAATGTTATCCACAATTTGTAATGATCCACACAGTCAAATGCTTTTACATATTCAATAAAACACAAGTAAACATCTTTCTGGAATTCTTTGCTTTGAGCCAAGATCCATCTGACATCAACAATGATATCCCTTTTTCCACATCCTCTTCTGAATCTGACTTGCACCTCTGGAAGTTCTCTGTCAATATACTGCTGCAAACGTGTTTGATCTTCAGTAAGATTTTACATGCATGTGATATTAATGATATTGTTTGATAATTTCCACATTCTGTGGGATCATCTTTCTTTGAAATGGGTACAAATATGGATCTCTTCCAGTCGGTTGGCCAGGTAACTGTCTTCCAAATCTCTTGGCATAACCAAATGAGTGCCTCCAGCGGGGCATCCATTTGTT